TCTAGTCTTATCAACAAGAAGAATATCATCAGCAAAAAGCATACACCAAGGTACATTCTCTTGCAAATGTCTAGTGAGAACATCCATGACTAAAGCAAAAAGATATGGGCTTAGGGCTGATTCTTGATGTAACCCAACCGAAATAGGAAAATACTTGGTCAAACCATCTTGTGTTTGAACACAAGTAATAGCTCATGGATACATATCTTTAATGATTTGAATATAAGCATTATTAACTCCTTTCTTTTCAAGAACTCTCCAATGCACTTCTCTTGGAACTTTATCATATGCTTTTTCTAAATCAATAAATATCATATGTAGATCCTCCCCTTTTTTTTAATGTAGATCCTTCTTATTTTTTATATATTTCTCCATCAAACCTCTTAATAAATGTATGGCTTCCATAGTCGACCTACCCGGCATGAATCCAAATTGATTTTGTATCACGCCGCAATCTATGCTCCATAACTCGCTTCCATTGTTTTAAAGTAAAAAATATATATTTCTATATATTTCACTTTCTTATATCGAAGGTTTTCATAATTATTTATCTTCTAATTTCTTTTTATTTTATTATGATAACTGCTTGAATCATAACTATTTTTTTCTTTAGTTGAAACTCATAAAATTGGGCTCGAGATCAAACTCGAACTTGACAATTAATAAAGCTCAAGTTCACGCTAAGGGTGACTCGAACTTGACTCGACTTTGTTTACACCCCTAATGGCGGATTTAGAGATTAGAGGGGCAATCAGGCCTTAACACAATGATCTTGTGTAGCAATAGTTGCACCCAAGAGTGAGCTGAATCAATGATCAATAGAGGGAGGGTGGTATAGCTCTAATCGGATCTGAAATCAACATAACACAAAGAATGATATGCATATGTAATTCGTCTTCTCTCTTTTCTCCATCTCATTCAATCCATGCCACGTAAAGCAGGTTGAGTGTAGCCGGTCGAATGGCGGGTTTTGTCTTGTGGGACTTGCACGGGAAGAAGAAGCTGTGTGAAGGAAAAAACCTAGCAGTAGTTGAGTCAAGTGTAGTATCTGCCTGATTGAGCTACTTGTTTAGCTCTTACTGAGCTCGAGCTCGTTTACTAGGCTTGAGTTCAACTCGTTAAAAAATTTATAGGCTCAAGCTCAACTCAATTGCTTTAGCTTATTTAGAAAGCTCGAGCTCAACACTATTTCTTAATTTTAGACTTTTTTTTTAATATAGAATTAATTTAAATTTATTAAAATATACTATATAATGCTAATGTAAATTAATTATTAAATATGTTTTAATTTAATCGAGCAGCTAAACGAGCTTTCGAGTTGAGCTATTGAGCTAGAACTCGTGGCTCAATAAGATCGACTCGTGAGCTCGAGGTGGCTTGGCTGACTTACACCCCAAGTGGGGGTTGGCTGAGTGAGGGAAAATGTTGAATTTATTGTAGAAAGTTATGGGCTGTTTGGATTATTGAATATAATAATTAGGTATTAGAAAATTAAATATACCAATTAATTTTTTATTTTCATATTTTTCTCTTTTGGTCAATGCATTAAATCCCCACTACCTTTCTAACATCTCAATTCAAACAACTTCATACCGACCCAAATTGGGCTATAAAATTTTCACAAATCTCAACTCCTATTGTCCTGCTAAGAGTAGTCCACATAAAAATTTAGAATTTTTCATTCACAAATTCAATTGATCTAAAATCGCCTTCATTAATTAACAACAGATCTAAAAGTCCTCACCCTATTCCATTAAAAAAATGCAACACGATGAATTATCAACATTGTCATTCAAAATTGCTTAGTAATTTAGAACGATTGAATTTAACTTACGATGTTGTCGCCCATAAAAAGTATGTAAAAATTCTACGTCATCTATTGTTGATTAAGCATAGATAGATTATTGATTCTCTCTTAATACCATAGAATACAAATAGTCTTCTGATCCTAAAGTATTTTTCCACTTTAAATTCTAACTTTTAAAAACCATCTTGGTGATGATAATAACAATGATATCGTTAGCTTCAGCTGTGATAGTTATGATCCTTACAAGATATCATCGTTATTATCATCATCATAACTATTACAGCCATAGCTAGCGATATCATCGCCATTATCATCACCAATATTACAACCAAGACGAGTTTCCAAAGCCAGAATTTAATGCTCTTGTATGCTAGAAACTTTCTTCTGGATTAGAATACTTTAGCATTCTATGGAATTCATAGGTAATTAGAAATCTACCAAAGTTGAGTTAACAATCAATCTACTGGCTCGAAAATTCTATGATAGTTGAATTATGCAAGTACTAAAGTTGGTGGATGATTCAAAACTATTCTCTGTATATAAAATTTGCAAGTGAAATTGTGTGGCAGTTTCTCACTTCCTTTTTTGGGTGATTACATCTTGACTTGAATTCAATTGTTATAAATTACTAAACAATTAGGAATGTTGATGTTGCTAAATTTATAGGGCTAAATTATATAAACTCTGAGCATATTTAGTACTTTATACTTATTTCGTTTCAACTCATGGTGCCTCCATTGATTAAAAAACAACCTTCTACATGTGGGTTGCCAAGGAACTGAGCTGAAAATGATGATCAAACAAGTATTTTCACCTTTGATGCATTACAAAAATATTTAGCATTGCTTTGAAATTATGAGGAATTTGAAAAAAAAAAGTATGGCAACTTAAGTGAAGATTAAAAAAAAAGTGCTCAATGCTAGAAGGATTTAAATAGATTTCAAAGTTTTTGGAGTGGTAGTGAAAGATTTATAGTTGATAGAAGGTTAGGGGAAAGATAGATCAATTTCAAAAAATTTTGATAGATTTTTTACTGCCTTCTTTGTGGTCATAGTTGGAGTTTTTTTGTATTGGAATGAGATGAAGATCTTCAAATCATTAGCTAATTAATGAAGGTAATTTTAGCTCAATTGAATTTCTTAATGAAAAGTTCCCAAATTTTTATATGAACAACCCATAGCAGGTGGGGACTGAGAATGTAGGAGAAGATGAAATTTTTGTTCACAAATTTTAATTATTGTTGATTTGCAAATCAATTCAAAATTTAGTAATACTAACTCTATGTAAACACATGTTTTTAATTAAAATTAATCATTTTTTTTATTAAATTACTTATGTTTAGTAATTGAAATGTTGTAGAGAAAAAAGCTCATAAAAAAATAATATAATTAAAAAAAATAGATTTATTAATATACATAGCTCTCAAAATTATGAGATTTACATAGTTAAAGCCTAAATTCCCCTCTTTAACACATTTCTCATAAATCTTTAAAATAATAATATAAATAACACCTCTTCTTCGCTTCTCTATTACAATCTATCATCGAATTCAACACTTTGATTTCACTAGTATTCGTCTTCCCTGAATGTTGATGCCCATGCTACACCGAACTTTACACACAACTATCCTATGTCGCTTGTTGTCTCAACCTTAAGGAGATACATTCAATGCTTTATCCACTAACTTGATGCCCTCCTAGCTAAGCCAAGGCTAATGTCACTATATAAACTTTAGCCTCCACTAGGGGTGTAAACGAGTCAAGTCGAACTCGAGTCAGGCTTAACTCAAGCTCGGCTCATCGGTCAGATAGCGAGCTCGAACTCGAGCTCGAGCTTAAATGATTTGCTCGAACTAGGATCGAGGTGTCCGATGTGAGCTCGCGAGCATCTTGCGAGGCATAAGCTCTCTTCATGTTCTCACGAATAGGGCAAAAGAAACAAAATTGCAAAATCATCTTTCTCACAAAGGGCAAACCAGAAGAAAACTTGCAAAAGAAAATTTTATACATATGCAAAATGAAAGAGATGAAATAACATGAGAAATATTTCAGTCACCCAAGTTCTGCGTATGAACATTTTCCTATAGTGGTACTTACATTTTGAGTGACTTGTCAAATATTCGAGTTGAGTTTCGTTCGGATCAAACTCGGGCTCAAAATTCCAACGAGCTCAAAAATCTGCTCGAACTCAAAAGTCGAATGAGTCGGCTTGACTCGTTTGCACTCCTAGCCACCACCCAAGCTAATTCTTGAATCCCACGAGAACCCATTGCGACTTACTCTTATCCTCGAGGATTTTGTCAACACCATTGATAAAATTTAACTAAGTGTTGTATTTCATAAATAATAAAGTTTAGCAATCAAATATGGAAATCTTATAATTTTCAATGTTATGTATGTAAATCCTTCTTTTAATTATTATACTTCAAAGGTGTGAAAATATAATATTTTTATTACAAATTTATGCCAAATACATGTGAACAATATTTTGGGCTAATATCTTCTTTTTTATAAGGGTTTACATTCATTGCATTCAAAATTAAGGGTTTATCTATTAGAGATTTATTTATAAGATATAATAGTGTTAATTATAATTATAATAATATGAATAATTAAAATTAAGGGTTGAGATTTTATTTGAATAATTAAAATTAATAAAAATGAATGTCTAAGATTGTAATAGATATAGTATAGATATAGATAGCATAGATAGTACAGATAGAATATATCACTCTGCTAAATATCTTGATGAACGCAAACAAGGTTGAGGTATGGAGTTTGAATTGTTATAAACTTAAAAGCTAAATATATAAATATTTAAATTTAAAATATTATATGTTTTTAAATTTTAAAATAAAATTAAATAATTTAATAGACCCTAACCCTAAATATCTTCATAGACTTTTTCCCAACGGCACTTAGCTGGGCAGGCATTTATTGCCCAAAAGACCGCCTTCGGTGGACCTTGAGAAACACCAATACACTAACCCCTCAAATTCTCAGTTCAAGTTGGAGAAAAAGATCTTGCATTGGAGAAGCTAAATGGAAACAAAGGCGCACCTCCCGGCGAAAACAAGAGAGCCTTCGAAGAAGATGGTACTTCTTTACCTGAACCATGCCCTTTTTTAAATCTTCTTACTTTCTTCTGAGTTCTGCCATATGTATATGCTTGCATAACTTTTTTCTGATTTCATGAACAAATTTTTAGCGAGATAACTGTTTATGGTGCAACGGAATGAAAGAATATTGTTTGTTTGTGATATCCAAATAACATTGTGCAGTGATTGATGTTGCACCAAAGTTTGAAAACCTAGCTCGAAAATTTTCCCAAACGCATCCTTCTCTTGTCTTCCTGCTCCTTCCCTATCTATGCTTCTTTTGATTTGTTCTTTTTGTCCTGCATTTGTCCTTGTATACATGCGATATGAATATTTGTGCTATCACTGTCAAATAGGGGAAAATGTTGCAGTACAAATCTCTTCGGTTGATTATTTATATGGTAAATCAACTATATAATTGAATTATTCAGTAGATTTTAATCATTAAGTGGACCTGTTTTACTAATTTCATTTTACATAATTGCTTAATATGACCGACAGTTTCGGATGTTTCTTGATGCTTCAGGTTAAGGTCTCCTTCAAAGTTATTAGATCTCTTACACTTGATCTTTTAAGCTCTGACACAATTCGGAGTATCAAAGACAAGATCTGCAGGATTGAAGGGACTTCAATCAACCAACAAGAGCTCTTTTTTGCTGGGAATCATCTAGAAGATACCAAAACACTATCTGATTACATTGTTTCCACTGATTCTGATCGCACCATAGATGTTCGTGTGGAAGGGAGAATGCCAATTTCCATAAAAATTCCATCAATGGAGAAAACTTTACCGCTTAATGTGAAGTATATGGGAAAAGTTCATAAACTAAAAGTCATGATTGAGGATGAGGTGGGAATTCCTTCAGATCAGCAACTTCTTATTTTTTGTGGCAAAACACTCGAGGATGATCATTTATTAATTGCATGTGGTATCACAAAGAATTCTACAGTTTATGTCATGCTGAATCCATTAGCTAAGCTTCTTCTCCATGTCCACATGGCTTGTGACAATGCCCTCAGTCTTGAAGTAATGGCAGGATATACCATTAGGGATGTCAAGGTTATTGTTGAGAGTTCAAGAGGAATTCCTGCTAGTAAGATAACAATTTTTCATGATGAAGTTGAGCTTCAGGATGGCTTTACATTATCATTCTATAACATAAAGCATGAATCTGTTCTACATCTACAAGCTCCAATACGGATATTTGTTAAAATAATGACTGGAAAGACCATAACTATCACAGTTGAAGCTGGCGATACCATTTCCATTATCATCACTAAGATTGCAAGCAAGATAGATTTTAAATGCAAGAATTTGAAGCTCATGTATGCTGGAAAGGTACTTGAGGATCAAAAGACTCTTTCATTCTATGGTATTAAGAGAGAATCAACAGTCTATCTACGTTGAATCAATAGTCCATTTGCCGGCTCAAGTATTCTATGATTGTAGAAATAAGTGGAACTATTTGTGGATGATTCAGAACTAATTTATTCATATGATAGTTGCATGTTAAATTGAGTGGAGGACTTCTCACTTTCTTTTATGGGTGGCAACATTATGACTTCAATTCAATTGTTCTGATTTATTGAATTATTTTGAATGCTGGTGTTGATAATTTATAGGGCTAAGTATTCTATATTGATTTCTTCGCAATTTAAGTTGCTGCCATTGATTAAAAATCATCCTTGTTCGAACGGGTTGCCAGGGAACTAAGCTAAATATGATAATCAAAGAAGTATTTCCATAAGAAATGAGAACCAAGGCATTCAGATGCAAGGCTGAAAAAACATGAATTATGCATGCACTAATTCATTTATTTCAATTAAGCGTTCATATTTGTATTAGATTATCATTGTGTGGATGAAATTGGAGTTACTTCTTTGACTCCCTTTTTTGGGAAAAGTAATGTTATGAACCTTTGATTCTTTAGAAAAATATATATGGCTGCATTGAGATTATACAAAATTTCAAAATAAATGTATGACAACTTTGGTTATGATTTAGAAAATAAATAATTGCTTAGTGATGAGAAGGAATTAAATAGAATTAAATGAAAAATTTACGGTTGATGCAAGGTTCAGGAAAAGATTGACAAATTTCGCTGAGTGTTATTTTTTGTGGCGCATAATTGGGGTTTATTTTTTTAATGAAATAGGGACAGGATCTTTAGATCATTAATTAATTAATTAATTAATTAAGACAAGTTTAGATCAATTGAATTTGAGTGGGAAGTGAGGGAAGAAGGTTGAATTTAAGTAGAAAGTCTTAGGGCTATTCTGTGATAATTGATTTAATTCAATAGGATTGGCGATGTAGCGCTTAAAAATATAGCGATGAGGTGCTATGTAAGCATCTGAAGCTATACAGTGTACAAATGAGTATTTTCCCAAGAGCTTAGCATTGTAGTGCCTGTTTTGAATGTCACAACGCTCATCATTTGAATGTTGTAGTGCTTCAAGCCTTAGGGCTACAATGCTGGTTCAATTTTCAGTGCTTCAAATTTTCTTAGGTCTTTAATCATAACTTTGATCAAAATTAAATAATAAGGAAATTATAAATAATACAAAATATTCAAGATTACAAAACATAAAAATATGAAAATTATAATAAATTACAAAGTACAAGTAAACAAAAGGAAGGGTTGCATCTCAAACACTGTTAAGTTTATAATTTTCAGTCAGACTTAATTTTATTTATCAACTTTGCTGGGTACATCACTGTGACTTCTTAGGTGGTTTTCATTAGGTTCTTTTCCTATATCTTTAAAGTTAACACCAGTATTGCTAAGTAGAGACCCAAGAGTCTGCTATTAAATGAGATTGCAAAATGTCCTAATTGAGTTTTCAAAATTTTAATTGAAGTAGCTTAATTTTATAATTAAGTTTCCAGTTGAATCACAACCTCTTCCAATGATTACAATTATATTCCCAAACTAGTTATTTTGATTAAATTCTTAAGGGTAAGAAGGTCTAGGATTTATAATAGGTTGCTGAGGATTATTCCAGTTTTCTCCTTTGATTAGGTTGTCCAGAATTCTACTAATTATTCTCACCATTATTATTTGACCAACTAATGTTAGGATGGTACCTCTAATCTGAATTATAGGTATTAGAATAAGGATTATTTTGTCTTCTAATCAAATTTATATTTCTAATCCTTAACGTATTAGTATCCTTAAAAAAATTCAAATGAGCCTCTTCCAATATTATAAAGAATCCAAATCCTAAGTTAACTTCAATAATATCCAATTTCTTCGAAATTGTTTCTACCTGAGCAGTAAAAATTGATAAGGTAACTGATTTATAAACTTCAGCTACTCTCTTAGGATTCATCCTATCAGTAGGCTACTGAAAATTATTAGTAGCTATTTCCTCTATTAATTCATAAGTGTTCTCAAATGACTTAGACATTAAAGATCCTCATGCTATAACATCTATGATTAACATAAGAGTTCATACTAATCCATTATAAAAGGTATGAATAACCAAACAATTAGGTAAAGGATGGTGAGGGCAATTCCTAAGCTTTTCTTTAATTCTTTCCCAACTTTTATAAATTGATTTTTCCTTCAAACTGGGCAAAAGAAGTGATATTATTTCTAAATTTAGCAATTTTTAAGAAGAAAAATACTTAGCTAAGAATTTTGTGCTAACTCATTTCAAGTGATTATAGAGTCTGGGGAAAAGAATTTAACCACATTTTATTGTTATTAATTAGAGAAAATAGGAACTATCTAAGTTTAATGGCATCATCTAGCTAAATATAGGTTAGGATTTTCAACAGAAATTTCACGAACTAAAAATTTTGAACTATTTGGATAATGTCCAATTTTATTTCAAAATTATTATCATGTATAGTAAGTCAATTGAGACTATGATGGATTCCATCTACTTGAAGATTATCATACTCCCTAAGTGGCCTAGTATAGTCCTAATCTTGAACTAGGTTAGACATTGTTAAATTTCTTTTGGCTTTTAGAATTGTTGTAAGGGTCATTTCTATTTTTAGATCAAGCAATAAGGGCTCTTACTATATTTATCAATCATACAACAAAAGTATAACAACTAAAAATTAAAAACTAAACAATCAAACATAAATTTTTATTTTTTTCAAAATTTTTAGCAAACAAAATAAAGATACATGATACAAGTAGGTCTAAATACACACTTGTTTCAGTAATATAATAAATTATAATATGCATGTACTTCACAGGCAACAGTGCCAAAAACTTGCTGGGGTAAGGCAACAAGAGGTTGATAGCGAGCTAATATAAAACTCGTGGAAGTTGAAATATACTTAGGTTTTCTTTGATATAAAATTTACAACAACCCACTAATTTATGCAAGTATATTGGTCGAATTAAATAATAAAGTGATAGAGTAGAGTGTCAAATCCACAAGGAAGTGCTCTACTAAATTGAGATAAAACTATAACTGCTTACTCTAATTACATTAATTTATCCTAATAAAATAAAAAATAATATTTTCGAGTTCCTACACTGAATGAAAATAAGTAAAAAGGTTGATACAATTATAATAAAGTGTCTTAGGCTCATGCATGTAAACTACATATCTTTAATGAAACTCTTAGTTATAGATGTGGATTTTAGCATATGTATCCCTAGATCTCTGTTAAAATTGTAAGGGTGAAAAAATATTTTTAGTTTTCCTACAGGTTTATAATCTTTATAAAACCTAGAATATTCAAACATCATATATCTAGGCATACTAATATTCCATTTTAATATTCTTAATTATTCTTGCATTCTTCCCTTGTCAAGGCTATACATTAAAAAATATTTTAACTACACATATGACTATTATATGCATTTAATGAAGAATAGGAGATATTAAAAACATAAATACCTTCATTAAAGAATATAAGTTTCCATTAATACTCAACATGCTCTTTATATCCTTAACCCAAAATAAGAGAACTATTCATACATGAAAAAACAACAAGCAAACTCATATTAATTTTACTGATAGAAGATTTAAAGTACTGGAGAAGCCGTCAGAAGTTCATTATCATAAAGGATCAAAATATCTTGTCTACATTCCTTCCACTACTTATTGAGTTTCCTATACAAGAATACGTTAAATTCTCGTAGAGATTGTATCTTAACACTTCCCTAATCTCTCTTAGACTTTACTTTAAATGAGTACTGAAGAAGGACACAAAAAAGTATTAAATATTTATTTAAAGGGTTAAACTCCTCAAATAATAGAATTTATAACTATTTATAGTAAGTACATGATCAGATTCAAGCACCGTTGCACTAGATAAGTTAGCGTTGCGGCAGTAAAAAATTAACTAGCACCTTGGGGCTACAAAGTTGGCTATGCTGCGATTCTAGATGACGTGGCATGGTTAGTGCCATGAAAAAAAAGTGTTGTGATGCTTGGAATGACATTTCAACAATGTTGCATTTAAGAGGCTAGCGCTCATGCGTTAATTTTCTCGAAACACAAAATACTACTATAAAAACCCGTATTTTGACCCAAGTAAATAATTTTTTTTGGAGTCATTATAAGTCTAAATTATAATCCATCTTTGTCATAGCATCAATATTGTTGTGATTTAATTACATGATTTTTTTTTCATAATTTTTAGGCACTAGTAAAAATCCTTAAGAAATTGACTCCTGTTAGTATAAGTTGAGATTTCAAGATCGATAGGTGTACGTTTTACAAATCAATTTTACCAATATTTTTTTAAATAAAATAATTTATTTTATAGCTATTTTCTTATAATTTTTAAATACCAAAATAATTTATATGAATTTTATATTAAAAATTATAGAAAATATCCATAAAATAATTTTTTTATTTAAAAAATATTGATAAAATTGATTTGTAAAAAGAACACATATCAGTCATGAAATTTCCACTTGTACCGATAGGTGTTAATTTTTTATGGATTTTCACCAGTGTCCAAAAATAATGAAAAGAATCATGTAATTAAAGAACTACAATATCGTTGCTATGTCAAAGATGGTTTATAATTTAGACTTATAATAACTCAAGAAAAAAAATTATTTACTTCGGGCAAAATATGGGCTGTTATAATCTACCTATCTTAATGAAATATCATCCCCGATATTTCCCTTATGGAATTGGGCACAAAATCAAGATAAAAAAAAATTATATAATTAAATCTCAAATCAAATCAAAACTCACCAAATATCATATACTCATGCAGTTCATTTTATCACATGTCATTCAATTATGTGTAAAAACTAATATATCATTATCTACCCAATCTACCTTGCTCACAATTAATTTCCTATAGCTATGGTAAGAATTTAATTAATTCTCCTAACAACTACTCTAATATATTTGTGATGCCCTAGAATCTAATTTGGAAGAATTATTCTATTATCTTTTGATAAATAACAATTAGATCAATCAAATTTCATTTATAAAAAATAAATAATAAAAAATAATTTTAAAATTCATAACATCTATATATACATTTGTATTCAATTTCCAAAAATTATATGCACTACTCATGATACATACAATTATATCATAACTATTCTGTCCTAAGTATATAAAAGACTAACTAAACTAAAAAGAAATAGAACCTGAAGAATTCTAACCAGACTCACACTCTTGATCTTCTATCTTGGCCTGAAATTATTTAACCATATATAATGAGCTATAAAGCCCAATAGGTCATCAAAACTTACAACTGAATTCAAAACATAATAAAGAAGCAATATGCATGCTAGGGATCAAACCATAATAGTAGCATTCATATGATCTTTTAATCATTGTAGAAATAACAAAATTCACATGTAGTAATAGTAAACTTTATAAATAGTAAATACTACGATATAAAAGCTAGTAAAGTAGTAGACTAGTATAAGTATCAAATATATAAATCAATCATTGTATCCATAATATCAATCAGTACAAAAATTCGATAAAGCATAAAGTCGAAACATTTATAAAGACAGTTGAAATCAAATTAACATAATAAAATCATATAGGAATATACACATGCTATATAATTATTCTATATCAGTATTAAATCAATATCTTAATCACATGCTCAATGTATCTTATATATCACATACTCAATGAATATATCATGATTTTTATATAAAAAAATTAATAATAGTGTTAATAATAAATCCATACATTAATATGAACAATACCTCAATAACATTTATTTTAGTAGGCATACTAAACAAGTAAGAATTTTGACTATTATGATATTTTTTAGTATCGATCAGTAAATTATTTGCTCAATAAATTGAGTCTTTACTCTTCCCATTGACACTGTAAATATATCCTTATAACTCCCAATCAGTGCACTGCATGAATCATTAGAGGATAATACTAAATTATAATATTTAAATGAATGCCCGTCGGCTCACCATCCTGTACAAGTCCAACCAACAGGCCAACCAATCCTTACTTATCATTTACACACACATATTATTGTCACAGTACTATAATAATAATATCGAACAATAATTACTCAATCACATATCAACATTTATTTTTAATGCATTATAAGAAATAAAGTATAATTAAGCTTAATTTATAAAGTTCTAAAATATCCTAATAATAGACAACAAAAATCATATTAAGCAAATCTTCATATGTATTTTCAGTAATTGATGTTAAAACAGCTTGTTATATAACATATATGATTTTTGAATTTACAATTATTGATTCCATGTATCTCTAAGTTATACCATGGAGTCATTGTATTATCATATCTAATATAGTAAGATTTTATTTGTCCATTATTAGTATTATCTTATTTTCCAAGTAAGACCACAATAATGGTCAAAAATAAAATATAAAATCTAACATTTTATCCTTGATTTGAGAAATACATACTTTTTATTATATCTCAATCACTGTATAATCAATCCCAATGAGATTTCAATCACTCTTTCTTATAGGCATTGATAACCTCATACAAAGATGAGGTCAACTGAGCCTTGATCGATCTCCACCTATTTGTTGACCTCATTTCTGTATGAGGTCATTAGGACCAATTCAGACCCTAGGATCTACCTAGACCCTAAGATATACCTAGACTACAGATCAATCCATACCCTAGGATCTACTCAGACCCTTGGATTTACCCAGACACTGGTCAAGCCTGGTTGACTAGTCAACTCAAAATAACCAAAATACCCTTTAGGGGTGTAAACAAACATTTTGAATCAAATGAACTTATTTTGGATGGAACCACTTCCATTCAACTACAAACATTAAATCAAACATGTTAAGCCCAAGCCTAGATCTTGGGTCAATATGATTGACCAAGTCAACCTAGGTTGATCCAAATGTCTCTTAATGGCTTTAAATGGGTTATTCCAACCCTTTTCAAACCTAAAATCAACTTCTAACCATGGCCTAAATATTTTCTAATCATGGGCCAATTAAGTCCAATCAAATTGACAAAGTCAACATATCCACACTTGACAAAGCCACATTGAATACATTTTTAAATTTCAAGCATTTTAGCTAAGTCTTTAGGATCCTTCCAAACCAGCTCAAGGTATCCCTACATGCTAACTTACAAGCCCATGTGGCATGTTAACTTGTCAAGTAGTCAACATGGGCTTTGGAGGGGTCAAA